GGCAGAAGAGCCACAACGGATACCCACGATACAGCGTCCGCGATTGCTGCAAATCGGCCTTCAAAGCGGAGTTCTCCGATCGCCTGTCAGTTCAACCACCAGTCGAAGGACTCAATGAACACTGGAAGAAAATCAACGAAGCAATGCAAATATCATTAAAAACAACCTTGGACCCTGGTGTGGGTTCAAAATACAAACGATGGATTTCGTCGACCTCGGTTGCCCTGCGAGACGCCCGCGGAACCCTGCCTCCGGATTACACATATGACAGCGCGCAAATCCCTCAAACGCCAGCTCATCAAGAGTCTGAGGAATGACCGCGAGGAGTGGTGGGTAGAGAGATGGAGAAGGCGGCAGCTATCAGCAATAGTCGCAATCTTTTCCACCTAATAAGGAATACTGGCCCTAGGACTACGCGTGAGTGAGTTAATTAAGGAATCTGATGGCACACTGATTCACCATCAGCAATGCCGTCTTGATCGATGGTTAAACACTTCAAGGCTCAGATCAACTGGCCTCCATCGACATCTTATCTTTCACTCCACCTCGACTGTGCAAATACTGCTAGTTGATGCTAGCCCTTCATCTGAAATGGAGGTTACCCGAAAATAAGTTATCTCAAAAAGCATAAGGCTTTCGGCCCTGACGGGCTATCCCCATCGGTTTTTAAGGATAGAGGTTCAGTCTTGGTTTTGGGCTGTGTGGGAGGGAAGAGGTTCCAGCTGAATGGTGTGAATCGGTCATCATACCGATTTACAAGAAAGGTGACAGATCCTCCTGTGGAAATCACAGAAAAATTAGTTTAATTAACATTGCTTCTAAACTTCTCGCCGGGATCATGATCCGTCGATTGTCTGCCGCACGTGAACGGTGTACGCGTGAGAATCGGGCTGGTTGTAGACCCGGTCGAGGTTGTATCGACCACATCTTCACTCTCCGCTAAATTCGGGAACGCAGACATTCTTTTCGTAGACCCAACACCTCTATCTTTCTGGATCTTAAAGCGAATTTTGACTCATTCGACCTGTCTAAACCTGGGCGCTGGCTTTCCCTGAAGGGAGTGCCCGAGAAGTTCACTTCAATATTACGATCCCTCTATACTCATAGCCGAAGGCTAATTCGAGCTTTCGGCACGTTTTCACCCGAGTTCACCACAGAAAGTGGTGTTCGACGGCGTTGCCCTCCCTCCCATTTTCTATTTAACTTTGTTGGATGCCGGTGTAAAGATGTTCGGTATGCGTTTGACACCTTCAAAGTGTAAAGTGTTACCACAGGACTGGGTTGGTTCAGCACCGAGCCTCACTCTTACTGGAGAAGTAATACAGCAGGTGGATCAGTTTTGTAATTTGGGCAGCTACAGCTCATCCGGTGACGCATCCCGAATGAAGTATCAGCTCGCATACAGAAGGCTCGGTTGGCATTCGCTAATTTAAGACATATGAGGCGCTGTCGCGACATCCGGCTGTCTGTGAAGGGTCGAGTATGTGCTGCAGTAGTTCGGCCAGTTCTGCTATATGGAGCAGAAACTTGGCCATTGAGAAAACAGGATAAAGACAAACTGTCGGTGTTTGAACACCGGTGTCTACTCATCATTGCACGAATCTGGTAGGGCAGCCGGACGAACAATGCTGAGGTTAGACGCAGAGTTTTGGGTATCTGCGATCTCCCGCTGAAGCAATTGGTCGGCCTCCATAGATTACGGTGGTTGAGGCATGTGGTACGCATGTCACCAGATGGGCTGCCACGGCGAGCGATGTTCGCCGAGGCAAGTAGTGGGTGGAAGAAAGTCAAGGGTGGCCAAGCTGAGACCTGGCACGAGGGTATGAAAATCCTGACCAGGTTACTAGGTCACATAGGTCCTGTTAGGCTCCCTGGCTGGGGATATCGGGATGATCGTACCCGATGGTTAGAGATACTGAATGATATGGCTGGGTGTCGTAAACAGTGGCGTTCTTGCATCTTCTCAATTTCTTTGCAGCCATAGTTTACTGGAGTTCTCAATTTTCTCTTCGACTCTACCTTCAACTTTCCTGTTCCTCCCCTATTATTTATCCAAATGGGCAGCCAAAAGACAGCAACTAAAACCGGCGCACGAAGGTGCATGGTTCATGTTTGTTCAAACTGAACTGAGCGTTACACGATACAGCACAGCCCACCTTAGCGAGTTACAGGAGATTCACCACATCCTGAGTTTGTATGCATTGGAGTTAAAGTTGAATAGTGCCGTTTACTGTCACCTTTCGATCAGAGCTGCTTTTCGGTTGTGAAACCTTGAATTTGAGTGTTGAAGATATCCATCGCTTAGAAGTTTGTATCTATCTCTCCTGACGTACTCTGATTCAGGTGAGATGGAGTACGCAGTTTGGCATCCGAGATGTAATTCGTTTTGTTTGAGAGCTTCTGGTGCGGGGCTTCCCCCAGGTGATCGACTCCGTGACTTGAACTATGCTGACGACATCGTTGTACTCTGCAACTCCTCCCAGGACGCTCAAAACGTCCTGTTTAAGATTCAGTGTCTTTGACCACCGTTGCCATCGGTACATCGCCAGAATAGGTTGGCAACAGCCAGTCACCAATGTCGAGTTTCATCGCCAACAATATCAACAATCGTCCTCCGACTACTGTCATCTCGCTCCATATGGCTAGGATATCTGTTGCGGATATCGGCTCGACCATTGCCCCATCGTGTTTTGTTTGCGCAAACAGCCACTAACTGGAAGCGGCGACACGTGA